GTGAAACAAGGTTGGGACGAGAGTTACGTCAACGTAAAGAAGTTGCAGCTTGTTTCGAAACTGTTATTCGATCAAAGTTTGTTCTGCTGGGCACGCAGGCGCAGAAAATGGCAACAATTTTATTCTGTTGAACTTTTCAAGGATGAAGATCGATGCTTCAAATCCTGAGAAAGGGCAGGAGACCAGTGAGTTACCGACTGTTAATGTTAATGGGACTAATTCCTCAACACAGCCGTCGGCTGAAACTACATTGATTCCAACGGAAATGCTTCTGGTTACTTTGTTTGAGTGGTCCCATTTTTTCAACGCTGAAATTATTGTGATTCTCACTAAGGCGGACGAAATAATAATTTTTTTTGTTGCAACATTACAATTGGAGAACTTAAGTCAAATTCGCGGTTAAGGCTCTTACTTTATTAATTATCTCGACAAGCTGCACACGTCGAACGGAGAATTGTTCTTAGACGACAAGATGGTGATGCGGCAACAATTGCGGGCCCCAATCTTGATGAGGCTCCACAAAGGTCGCTCAGGCGTGTGGAAAATGAAAGAAGTGGCAAATAATTACTTTTGGTTGCGAGTTGTCAAGACTGCACTAAATCCGGCAAGAAATTGAAATCAATCTTTTCCGAGGGTGATGTTACGAAATTTGAGGTGATAGAAAAGCTGAATCAGGAAATTCAGTTAGATTTCCTGGGGCAAATACCAGCAGTTTGGGGTACCAATAAGTACATACTTATTTGTGTGAATAGATTCTCGAAGTTTCCTTTGATCCAAGTTACTACCAGAACAGCCAACAAGTGGGGTTATTACAGAAACTATGGAAGTTATATTGGGTTACACGCAATACCGCGGGTATTCTGGAAAAAACCAAGGACCGGGATTCTTTACAAAATCTATCTGTGATTTCTGCGCAAAACCAAAAAATACAATTAAAATTTGCACCCGAGGGTAATCACCGGGCAACCGAGCTTGTGGAGTAGTGTATTCGAAAAAAACGGGAACGCTTTATAGCCTGCTATTTTCAAAAGCCGAAAATGATGATCCGTTCAGATGAGCGGTAAGTAAAAATACCTAGTGGTCCCACGAAAAGAGCGGAACTAAATGAATCGCGAGACACCACTAAATTTCTGCTGAATTTCGACTCGGATCCCATAAACAAGGCTTCAGAGCCGAGCATCAAAGTGCACTCAAAGACTAGAGGAATAGTTCTGTACTATCCGAGGAAAAAAGCGGAGTAAAAATGGACTTTGGAGCCAGAGTAAAGGAGCGGAATTGTCCAATTAATCTTTCATCTACTGAAGAGGTGGAGGAGAATTGCCCAACAACTAACGAGTCCTCGGGATTGGATGTACAAGATGGGCTAACAAATCCTCGGAAGGAATCGGAAAATTCCTTCCGAATTCTATTTGTGTGAATAGATTCTCGAAGTTTCCTTTGATCCAAGTTACTACCAGAACAACCAACAAGTGGGGTTATTACAGAAACTAACGAAGTTATATTGCGTTACACGCAATACCGCGGGTATTCTGGAAAAAACCAAGGACCGGGATTCTTTACAAAATCTATCTGTGATTTCTGCGCAAAACAAAAAATACGATTAAAATTTGCACCCGAGGGTAATCACCGGGCAACCGAGCTTGTGGAGTAGTGTATTCGAAAAAAACGGGAACGCTTTATAGCCTGCTATTTTCAAAAGCCGAAAATGATGATCCGTTCAGATGAGCGGTAAGTAAAAATACCTAGTGGTCCCACGAAAAGAGCGGCACTAAATGAATCGCGAGACACCACTAAATTTCTGCTGAAAGCAAAGGATAGTAATGCGGTCGATGCCATTGTAGTGACCGGATCAGCGGATAACCCGATCGTTATCGATAGTTCTTCAGATGGACTGATGTCCAGAGGAAGCCCAATAGGTAACTTAACTAGGAAAACCATATTCGACTCGGATCCCATAAACTAGGCTTCAGAGCCGAGCATTAAAGTGCACTCAAAGACTAGAGGAATAGTGCTGTACTATCCGATGAAAAACGCGGAGTAAAAATGGACTTTGGAGCCAGAGTAAAGGAGCGGAGTTGTCCAATTAATCTTTCATCTACTGAAGAGGTGGAGGAGAATTGCCCAACAACTAACGAGTCCTCGGGAATGTATGTACAAGATGGGCTAACAAGTCCTCGGAAGGAATCGGAGGGGCTAACTACAGGGCCCGAACCGGTAAAAATGGAGTGTTTCAGCTCGCCGCCTAAAGATTTACCGACGGAGCCGGAGGAGACTAGCAGCCTGTTAGCTAGAACGTCGAAGCCAATGGTACATCACAGTTTCCGTCCGCTTTGGGATCTCAAACGACTTAAATTTCTGGGGGAGCGATTCTTCACTAGTGTAGTTATAGCAGATGCTGCGATTGTCAATGTGATTCAAGCAAAAGACTGATCGGAAAAGGAGGATGCTGGTGGGCCAACAGGAACGCCAAGGCCATCTCTTAAAACGACCAATCATCCTAGGAGAGCAAGCCATAGTAGAGATCGGGGAGCCGCAAAAAAAAAGTGGTAGTGACTCCGAGGAAGATCCCGGGTCCTAAGAAGAGGAACGCAGAGGACACGTTTTTTGACCGGGAGATGTGCCGTTTTACTGGAGGGCAGACTACGTACAGGACGATATCAGTAATTTAGACAAATCAGTCTCGGGAAAATTTGTCGAAGTATTGGATAAACTACGTCGTATCAATTAAAACTCGAAAGGAATAGTGCTAGTCACCGACTCGCTGGGGAACACAATCGATGGGCTCCGCTTGGAATTATTTTATCAAAGACTCGAGGCGTTTATTTGCAATATTCGGAAGATTCCGGGGCTAGGTTAACTAGTCGATGCAGCGCAGGCCGCAATAGCGGACTCGGGAAACCATTGACAAGGCAGGTCAGGTGTTGCTCGCCAGAGTGATGTCGGAAGGCGACGGTAATCCAACGCAGAGCGCACATCGAGTAAAGCTGGGAGTTTACCAGAAACGTTGGAGCCTGAGGGAAAAACACAATCAGATATCACACCAGCGGCATCCGCGCCGTTCTTGTTAGTGACCAGTCATCCGGCGGTATCAACATTCTCGTCATCACCTGTCTCTGAGCAGACGTGAAAGAGACGAAACTCATAGTGATATCAGAGAACGATTCGCCTATAAAAGGCCTATTAAGTTGCGATAACGAAGAGCCGTCGGCGATCATACAAGGAACAGCGGATATTGCTAATGTAAGTGGGGATTCGAGGGGACCGATGGTGACAGACGATTTGGACATCGCGGACGAGTTATCGGCGATAAGTATGAATTGACTTAAGAAGATCATCGCCATTTTCTAGAGGATTTGGAAAGCTTATAAACTCAGACAATTTGAGAACTCCGCCCCTGCCTCGCTAAGGGGAAAGTGATGGGAGATTAGTGACAAACATTTAGAATAAATTATTATAGATACTTATATAACAATGATTATCCAACATTTCAAATTAATGTAGGAGTGTAGTGAGGTATATTAGGTAACTTATGATTTTTACGTACCATGTATTACCTTGTTACATTATGGTACCAAGGTCAACATCATGGAAGTGCTTAACCATGCGTGTTGCCATTGTATCTGGTGACCGAAAAGAATTTAAAGGTCAGCATCGTAGAAGTGGTTAACCACGCGTGTTGCATTGTAGCTGGTGACCGAAAAGAATTCAAGTTGTTCTTTTACATTTTCTTTTTTAACCGTAAGACATTAATACACCTTCAAAGAGTTTACTTCTACACTCCGTTTATTTCGAGAAGCGTTGTCTTCGCTCAACAATAGAGATTTCCGATCATCCAAGTTTTTCAATTCGAGCATCTGTTTCGCAGACTGTAACTGTCAAATCGTTAAAGTTGTTTTCTGAACGTTTTTGTTGAAGTTTTAATGATGACAGCCACAGTCATCTTCAAAACGTCATCTTGTGTTCAAGTGTTGTCAAAGCGTGGCATTGAAATTGTTCACTGATTTTTTTCGCAATTGGCTTTTTCTACCATCTCTTGACATATAGCTTTAATATTTTCCCCTCCCTAAACACGCCCCTTGTTGTTCTATTATTTATGTTTCTAAACAAAACGGAGATCGAAAAATTTGTCAATGTAATTTCTGTACCAAAATATTCCTCGTAATAACTCGAAAAACTTGGAGGTTTTCGACCGTTTCAAAAGAATTTCTGCGTTTCAAAGAATTTTTCTGTATTCTATGAGTTATTTGATTGATTAAAGATGAAACAGATAAGCCAGATTTTTTATCACCTGATTAATTCAGACCTTGATTACTTACTGTCGTACGTTAGTGCAATAGTTGGTATATAGAAAAAGGGACTTTACGTGCTGCACATAATCTGTTCAAAAATCTATTTACACGAATCAGAATCTTTATTTTATCAGTACGAGGTGATGAAATATCAAAACCTTAAGTATTTGAAAGCAATTTTTATCCAGCGCGCCTGGCGTTATATTTGTTTCTCAAGGCCATTTTAATGAAATAAATTTTTAATGGTTCATAAACTTAGTAGAAGCACCGCTCCACATGTCCATGTCTAGCAGAAATTTGTAACCACCGAAGTCTAACTATGGTGACACAAGGGTCAATAATCTTTCCAGTAGAGACTTTGGGCACACCTTTATGCTCATCGTTTGGCCACCGAGGCTGCGTCTCTTCCTTTTGCAAGCGGTAACTTTTTCCAATAGGTTTGCCTTGCGAACAACTGGACAAGCAGACTTTTTAGCGCAAAAGTCGATTCCGGAGCGAAATTGAGTCGCAAAAATCATGATTGAGTTAAAGGCCTAGGAGCTCAACCAAGAAATGAAAGATACTGATTTGTTGTGTGATACACCTGAGCGGAGCCCCTGAGTCCCTGTATGATTCCCTCTATATTCCCAGAAGATTTATTATCTATACTTTATTCATAGTCAAAAAGAACAATCTGCAGGCTCTCCACCAAATCTTGAAGTAAAAGCAAAACATATTGCAAAAATAATTCTCCTAACAAAAAATAGACAAAGAAAAATATTTATCAATAAAATCAAAACTACACGATAGATCTGGGACTGGGGTTATATTTGCGGTTCACGAACTGAAATTTAAATTACCTCCAATTATTTATTAAATTAACAACTAATCGACTGATTTCATCTATTCCATTTTTTCCAGCTAATATAGCAAATCAGCTTTTTTTAAAACTTTCCTATCACATCAAGATAATCGCCCAGTGTTGGATTGGTCAATAACTTCATTTTTCAAAAGCAACTCATCTGCTGAAAGACTCATAATAAAGACCCAACAAATGCATAATAAAGATTACATAACTGTTACCCATTGGCAACGTTTAGTGCGTTGTTTTCGGCTGAGCCTGAATTCGTATGTTGGGCGTTTGAGCTCTCGCTGCTGTTTCTGGACTCCTGCTGATTATGATTATGTTGGTCAGCATTGGCAAGACTCACTGGCGCGTGCTTCTCCCTATATGAAGGTGTGCCGCCGGAAGGCGTGCTGACGTTTTCCTCCCGCGTTTCTTTTGACTGTCCTGACTGTACAATGTTGTTTAGAAGGGGTATCGTGTCGGCTCCCCCGTTTGGTAGAGACATGTGATGGTTTTCGTCGATTTGATTGGCTGATGGATTGTTGATTTTGGTGGGAGAACTAGGAAGGGAATTTGCAGCCGGTGGTTCCGCCACTGACGTCACCCGAAATCGAATGGTCTAAACTTTCAAAATCTCGAAAAATGAAAAAAAAAAAAGTACGGACGGAGAAGACAGAAACCCGAGCGCTCAGGTCGACCCGGGTCTTTTTAGCTCTATTGAATGATTTTACTTTTACGAATGCATTTTTGGCTGACCAGCATCTTTGGCGCCAATATAAACTTAAGACAGTTTCTTCAGACAGTTAAAAGATGAATTGTTTACCGAGGAACTTACTATTACTTTGATATGTTACTTTTGGCAGTGTTTACCTAAATATTGCCAAAAATTTTTTGGCTGAACACCATCTTTTTCGCCAATATAAAAATACCGTTACTTTGATAGGATATTTTTGGCAGTGTTTACCTAAATATTACCCGTAAAATTGTAACTTTTTATGTGAAACTTCAACTTGGCTCCTAGCAGAGCAGCGTTTTTTCATGGTTTAGTTGTGACAAGCGCATGGTTGTGCCAAGCGTGTGTAAGTACACTGCAAACGTTATCATAAAAAGCGTGATATTTAGAAAGCGAGATTCTTTCCCATTATATCCCCAGCCCCCTCCCTCTAGTGAATTATAGACCCCGAAAACGTAAAAACCGATGATTTGGGGGCTATATTTTTTGTTTCTAGCCTGGGGGGGATATAATGAGACAGACCTTTCGTGACTATGTGGTTCGTAAACGAATGTCACAATTACAAAAATTTATAAATGTTGACCACCTCTTAGTCCAGATTTTTTTTGTTTGAAAAATTAGCCTTCGGATTCTTAATTGACTTTTTTCTCCTTTCTTGTTTGCAATTTTTTAGTCAATGACGCAAAAAGTGGGCTTGAAACTAGCTTTGAATGAGCATTTTTATGGTTCAAAGGCAAACATACCAATTAGCAAAAATCAAGCGCGTCATTTAGCAATTGAAATGGAGTGGGCTATTACCTTTTCAAGCCATTTTGTTCAACATCTTAATTTGCTGTGCACTCAATGTGTCACCAAGAAACGGCAAAATGAAACCAACAGCGTGTTTGAATGCTTCATAATTTTGAGATAGAAAAGATTAATAATGGATTTTTTCTTGGTATGAAAAGTCAAGGTTTTAGAGATCAAACCGTATGACATTTTTTTCTGTCGTTTTTGCAAATGATTACGCAGTTATATTTTCTCAAATGCTATACCATTACTTTTTGCGAGAACTTAATTTTAAGAAGCCACTGTAGCAACTTTAAGTACATAGTCCACAATTAGATAATCGCCCTTTAATTTGTAATATTATCAGCTAGCCTAATTGAGTTCGTCGCCTGCTGCACATTAATTTTTAAAATTAGGATTGCGCTGTTTCATCTTTTACAAAAAATGTCGGTCTCTGCGCAAAAGCAAAAATTAGCAAGAATTTTACGCACGATTTTTTTTGCAAAATTTAGCAAGAATTTTATGCACAAATTTCATTTTGTTCAAATGAGTGATTCTTCGCTTCACTAAAGTTGTCTAGAAACGACACTCAACAAGGAAAGTGCTTTTCAAAAAAATTACTTTGGTGCAAAGGTAGGATCGGCTAGCCCAACCTTATTAAAAGTAAGCTGTAAAACAGGGGGGTTAATCCTATGGGCGAAGGACCGAACCGGATGGGCGAGAAACTTATAGGCAAATGACCGCAACAAGAACAAACGACAGTCAATTATTAAAATGAAATCAGTTGCTGTTCAACTGAAAGGAACTAAATGAAGCAACATTTTGCTTATTTTATAACAAAACCCTTGAAAAAAAAACCTTGTTCAAATTCGCCGGCGGTAAATGAAAATATGAAAATGTTGCATATTTCTGATATTTTTATATTCGGCCATTAATAAAATTAACGCGATGGTAATGCTTACTTTCTTTGAGATTTTCTCGCTTTCTTTCCAAAATTTAAAATTACTGAAATCTGATAAACTGATTTTTAATTCTGCCGTTCGGTCCTTCGCCTATGAGGGATTCCACCAGTAAAAAGTACCGCATATTGATTTAATTTGGTTAGTTCCCTTTACGAATGAACAAAAATGAAACACTATAAAAACGGGGGAAAATCAGAAAAACCAGAGAAAAAAATTGAGTTAAAATGAATTACAAATGGGCATAAAACTAAGTAAAAAGAGCGACTCTGATTGGCCGAACTTTTACGTGCAAGTGAGAAAATTATGCAGGGCCAAGTCAATTTTCCCAACTCCAGCATAATAGATGAGTTCTTACAAATATAGTCAGTGAATTCACCTCTCTCTTTATATTTTTAATTACCTATCAATCAACCAATCAACCTATCACTGGTTGATTTTTAACGACCTATCAATCAACCAAT